CGCGCAGGCTCAGCGGCCATGGCTCACGGGCCCAGCCGCTCCGCGGCATGTGGGATCTTCCCGGACCGGGGCACGAACCCGTGTCCCCTGCATCGGCAGGCGGACTCTCAACCACTGTGCCACCAGGGAAGCCCAGAACTAGCATTTTTTGATAAGATATCAGGGAAGACCTCTCTGATGAAGTGACATTTGAGCAGAGAGCCAATGGGACCCGGGAAATGAGGGAATGAGTCATTCTCATATCTAAGCGTGCAGGGTGAAGTGGAGCATTTGGAGGCTTTTGAAAAGAGAAGTGATGTGATCTGACTTTAGTTTTAAAAGAATTATTCTGGCTGCCATGTAGAAAATAACAGAACAAAGACGGAAGCAGAAAAGCCAGTTAGGGGAAGCTGCTGTAGGAGCCCAGGATAGAGGCTGAGTCCAGGGCTGAGGTGATATCCTAGAGGGGAGGAGAGAAGAAATGATCACAGTCAACATGTTTTAAAAGTCAGAGTCCACAGGCTGGCTGATGAACTGGAAGTGGGAGGAAAGAAGGAAAGGGATTAGGATTACTCCGAGGTTGGCCTGAGCAACTGGGGTGAAAGGTGGTACCCTTTACTGGAGTGGGAACCCCGAGAGAGCCACCAGTTTGGGGCTGATGGATCAGCAGTCCAGTCTGTTAATAACTGTGAGACGCTTATTATACAAGGAGGCAATAAGATCAATCATTCTGGAGTTGGGGAGAGACACTGAGGCAGTCATCAAACTGGGAATCGTCAGTGTCGATATGATACTTAAAGCCAGAAGACTGAATGAGATCACCTACGGGGTAAGTGTGTTAAGCGTGTAACAGAGGACTGATCTCAGGAGGAAAACCAGGAAGGGCGGTGTGCATAAGCAAGTGAAGAATAAGGGAATGATTAAGTCTTGTCAATTGCTTGTGGAGCAAGGTTGAGTGTTGATCTTTAGGTTTGGCAAAATGGAGGTTATTGGTGACTGACAGCATTAGCCATCACCAGCATTTTTGTTTTGTTTTTCTTATTATAGCATCCATTTATATACTCTCAGGTCACCTCTCCTTACTACTATATTTTAAGTAAAGACAAGAATAAATGTCATATGCTTTTCTACCTCAAGAGGGTCTAGCTCGTGGTAGAGGCTAATAAGTATGTATTGGACAAATGGGTTGATGAGTGGTGAGTAAATGAGTATCAGGCATACTTCTGGTTCCATTTCGTTATGTACCATAGGTAACCTTTTTCTGAATACTAATTTCCTAAATGTTTATCACTTTCTTTAGGCATAAGACACCGAGCCCTCACATTATTTCTTTAACATGAAATCTGCTGGAGAACTAAACTGTAAATGTACTGTATCATTTTGTGTCTCCACCACCTAGCACAGAGTGTGTCACATAAAAAGAACTCAATAAATGTTAGTGAGATAGTGAATAAATTAAAGAAATTGAGAACATTTGAGAAAGATGTAATCCTCGATTCATCTGTGTTCATGCGCTTGGAAATAGTAGCTCCCAGTTACTGGATGTCTACCATGTGTTGACTATTGTATATAAAATTTCCAATTTAATTCTTTCAACAGCTTTTCTCAGTTAAGGTTCTTTTGGCTGCAAGTGACAGAAAATATGACCTCAGCTCGCTTAAGCAAAAGGGAAATTTACTGGTAGATTGCATTATTATTATTCAGAAATATTTGCTGCCCCTCTCCACCCTATGGCATCAAGCTTGAGTATGTGAATTTGTTCTGGCCAATGGCATGCAAGCAGGAAGCATCCTCCAGGGAGATGGTTTAGGAGCTAGTACTTATTTTCCCTACTATTCTCTTTTCCCTCTATTACAACTGGTGATTTTCCAAACAGAGCTTGCTCCATCATTCTGGGTCCCAGATCAAAAAC